ACAGTCATCATCATGTCAACAACAACAACAACACAGAGAAATACTGATAGAAATGTGTGTGTAGTTGTTGATACATTGCTGACAGAGGGAACTTCATTTGAATACAGATTTAAGAAATATCAGTTTTTGAGCATGTCATAGCATGTTTTGTCTTGACTATATTACAACTATATTATAATAAAATAATATAGTATTTATATTATTGAATTGATTATGATTATTATTATTAGTAGAAGTAGTTTATTTGCATTAATTATATTTTAATCTTTGTGAGGCTAGTATTTGGCAGGAAATGCAGACATATTCACCTGTAAACACATACTGAACGACAGACATGCACATTTACCTCACTGTATACAAAAGTAACTGTGTTGATAATAATAATAAACAGGAATTATATTTGCAAAGTAGCCTACTTTGTTTCCAAAAAAATGTTGTTCACTCCTGTCGGTTGGGGGGGGGGGGCCTCATCTCACAATGTTGCTTGGGGCCCCAAGTTGGCCAGTGTACATTATAAATGCAAGCTATTACATTTTTTATAATGCTGCCGAACTTGCTGCTGCTAGCTACAGTACAGTACAGGTTGATTAAACGGTTCGCTCACCACGCAAGGTATCACATGACATGAAAGCAGGGCTGGCTCTAGCCAATTTGATGCCCTAGGCGAGATTTTTGCTGGTGCCCCCCTCCCCCCTATAGAATATATAAAGAATAAATGAAAAATCTCTACAGAAGACAGATACACTACAAAAACAGAAACGTATTGACATAGAGTAATATACATCAAAAAGGCTTCAAATGTATTCAGTATTGTATGAACATGTTTGAATTGGGGGGTGGACATCACATCCTCTGAGGGGGTTCGGGGGTTAGCCCCCCTGGGAAAAAATGTTTGAACATTTTAAAGTAAAACGCTTCAATCTGGTGCACTTTGAGCACACAATTACTAGAGACTAGATCTAGGGGGTACAACTCTAAAACACCCATATGAAAAAGATCGGTTTACATTTTAATAATCAAATAAGTATGTGAACATAACCAATAACCTCCCATAGCCAATAACAAATAAATGTAACTTTTTTTTTTTTTGTTCATTCATATCTTATTTTACCTAGTTAACATGTATTTAGTAATACACATTTTTATTTCTCCAGTTTTAAACGATATTTTTGGTTTACTGTCCTATAGTAGGCCTATACATTGAAATTATTTCAAACCTGTTTAACCCAATAATTATAAAGGAGTGCCTTGGAAATATGTGTTTACATAAATTGTGATCAAAACGTTAGAGACCCACTGAGATAACTTAGACTAAAGTGAACTATCTAAATACTAAGCGAGTCCTTTACCTCACTGAGCTGTAGTCATTAGCCTCCCAGTCTGTCAGGAGAGAGCTCCCCTCCACCTTTGTTGTAGAAACATCTTCTTCTTATATCTGTTAGCGCAGCTAGCACCAGGTGCTAATAATTATGCACCCCCGTCGTGAAATGCACCCACTGGCCTGCCGTAAAAAGCACCCCCCAAAAAAAGACGCTTGTATTAATTCCACCCTCAAGCACTTTGGAGGGTATAGTTGTAGGACTAGTACCAATAAATGGAGCAAGTTTCATGTATGTGACACGTTTATTGTCAGAGATAGCAAGGGGTGCATATCGTGGCAACCAGGCTATTCTTAAAAAGCACCCCACAAAATAAAATAAATTCTATTAATCCCACCCTCAAGCACTTGATGTAAAAATAAACAATACATTGTAAAGCACAAGTATACAGACAGGACGTCACAATTAAATAAAAACATATATTAAATTAAAAATTAACTGAAAAATAAGTGACGAATTAATGCAAAATCCAGGATTCGACAACCCAACCATCAAAAAGACAACATAGAATAGCGGACTATACGTTCAAACGCGCGTTCCCGTGTCAAGGGGTGCATTTCACGACGGGGGTGCATAATTTGACACAACCTCGCTCTCACGCTCACTTGCACTTTGGCTGTGAGCTGATGGCGCCAGATAAGCCAACATCCCCCACTATCATCACTTACAGCGCCCATCGTACAGGGCAAATGAAAAGTGTAACCGGGGTGAAAAGAGTGTTACATTTACTTAATTATGAAAATTGTTACATCAAGGCCAAAAATTAGGATGTTCACCAACGGCCAAAAATGTTTTGCCCCCTCCCAGAGCTGCCAGCGCAGCGCCCCCGCCAGATCTGGCGCCCTAGGCGAACATCTATAACGCCAGTGCTAAGGACCAGCCCTGCATGAAAGGGAGCAAGGTCATTGGACAAATTAAGGGTTAGGGTTACTAAGTAATTTAGGTTGCTTGGTTACTTTGAAGACTGCGTGAACCGGTCAATGCCATTGGTGCCCCAACATTTTATTTTTTTGCATGTGCCCCTGGCTGGCTCTGGGCCCCAGTAATGGAGAGACAGCTGTGGTACAGGTCCCTCTCTGGCTGCTTGATACAGGCCTCACAGAAAATAAACGCCAGCATCCCAAATGTGTTCCGACTGGTGTATAAATCATCAGTTAAATATATTGGAATAATTCATTAGTGCATCATTTTAAACTAGAGAATGCAATTCCTGAAGAAATTGAGAATGCTTTATGCTGAAAAGCTGACGCTGAATTGCTATGCTGAAATGTAATGTGTAAGAAGAAAGTGAAGAATTTAGATTGAAATGATACATGAACACTGGGGGCTTGAATGTGTGATGAGAGAAGAAAAGAAAGTAAAAAGGCTTGGAAAAGCAGCAGAATATTTGAACTGCACACTATTGAACTCACTTGATGGCGAATGATCTGTCACCATGGCAATGGTATTTGACGACACCCCATAATACGCTTAGATATGTTGATGGCTGCATCGTTACCAAACCTGTGAAGTTTTGGGCCGTTTGGATTATTTTCACTGAAGTTATGAGAAAACCGTGTTTCATGGCGAGCATTGTGTTGCCATGGCAACGGCATTTGAAGAAATCTCAAAAATGTCCCGTAGATGTCTTCACGGCTGGACTGTTAGCACGCATGTGAAGTTTAAGCACTTTTTGACCATTTTCATAGGAGTTATAGCAATATCGTGTTTTATTGCAAGGGACAGCTTTTGAGGAAAACTCACTAATGTTGGCACATAGATATGTTGAGGGCTGGACCTTTCACTGTCATCTGAAGTCTGGTGGTGTTTTGACCATTTTCATATCAGTTACGACAACATCGTGTCTTTTGGCGAGGGATGTGTTTCCATGGCAACAGCCTATGGTGAGATCTCATATTTAGCGTAGAGCTGTTGAGGCATGGACCGGTGATATACAAGCGAAGTTTGGGGGACGATCGGACCGTGTCGATTGGAGTTACAGCGACATCGTGTTTTATGGCGAGGGATGCGTTTCCATGGAAACGGCATATGATGACACCCCATAATTGACGTAGAGCTGTTGAGGGCAGGACCATTAACCATTATCTGAAGTCTGCTGCTCTGAGCATGTCAGTTGGAGTTATGACATCATCGTGTTCCATGACACAGGTGTTTATAGTTTAGCTAACGATGTGTGTAGAGATCAGAGGTTTCCATGGCATTTTGTTTAATTAGTTTTGCTTAATTTCTTTCAAGCTACGAGATGTTTTCCTACGTTTGTCATGAAAAATGATGTCTCAGGAGTGTAGGGTTTGGGAATTATGGCAGGTTTAAAAGAAAATATGAAGGCAAAATTAAATCTGTCCTCCACTCTAGCTGTGACATCACACACTCTAAAAGCTGAAGAAGGCCTCTTTACCAAGGTCTGAACAATGTTTAATATTTCTAAAAGTAAGAATCAGATTTAAAAGTTGTGTTACACGAATAATGTCAGAAAGATGTGTGACATTTTAAAGTTGGAAAGAGGTTTCTGAGTGAAAGTATGAATGAACAGTTAGCAGTTGTCGCATGAAGATTGTTGAAATCTGAAGAGTTCCTCCATTGACTTCAATGTTAAAAATGTGATGAATTATGGGATGTATCTCTGGAATTATGAAAGTTATGAATGAGAAAAGTAATAGCCATCGATTCCCGACCGAGCTGAACGTTTTGATGTTTGAACGGAGTTTCTGCGATGTGGAAGAAGAGGCGCAAAATAACCCGGCGAAATAATAAAGAATTTCGTGCGTAGCATAACAGATAGCATTCCCACTAAATTAACAAAATATGTATAAGAAAGTGGGTACAGACATTTCAGCTTTAGCTACATCCTCTTTTCCTTTTTGTATATTTTGATAATTTAAAGTGGACCTATCATGCTATATTTGAATAGTATACTGTAGGGCCATACGTATATAAAACATGTCTGTGAAGTTTATTTTTCAAAATACCAAACAGATCATGCATTTTAGCCATGCCTCATTTCGCTCTATTCCAGCCCTGTCTTCACAAGGGCTGATTCTGTGGCAAATGAGCTGCAGCTGACCACGCCCCCCTGCAAAGGAGGGGGGCGAGGCACGAGCGTCATGTTACCATGCTGTTACCATGCCACGCAACCTCTCATTCCCCTGATAGGTGGAGAGTTGCCCATATAGGCTTCGGACGTCAGAACATTTTCAAATCTGTATCAGATCCGTTGCAGCCCCGTTTTTAGAGAATTGGGTATGGAGGAAAAGAGAGAGGGTTGTGTTTTCTGACACTTGGTGAGTTCCCTGACACACCGGGGACACATATTCATGTATAAAAGGTGTACAAAAGTGCATTTTGCATGATAGGTCCCCTAACTATTTCATTCTCTTTCTTGAATGCAGAGGTCTGGAACATACCCCTTTCCAACCTGTGTGTGTGTGTGTGTGTGTGTGTGTGTGTGTCACTGAGTGGGTTTCTGTCCTTCAGGATCGTTTCCGATGACACCTGCCACCTCCAGCTGAGACTCGAGGCCCCTCCATGCCATGAGTCAGACCGATTTAGCTGACCTGTAAAAGTACGCAACAAACACAAGCCTTCACAAACGCCCCCTCAGAACAGTTAGGCAAAGAAAACCATTTTTTAAAAGTTTATTTATTTTACTCGATGCTTGGGAGTGAACCATTCCCAAAGCAGGTCCATCCTTAATCAAACATTTTAATTTGTTTTGTCTTTACAAATTCAACTGCCCAGCAAAAAGACCAACAACAAACAAGGCACACAATGTATCAAGTACTGTCCCTACCACTGGCACAAATACACAACATGTGTTCTGAGGAAGGCATGATGATGTCTCAAGGCTACCATCACAACGTTTTAAATACAAATGGGTTTCTGTTTTGTGCATTTACTTAGATACCATTTTTACATCCAATCCATTAACAGAATATAGTTAGTTAAATGCTTAATACAATCTTGGAAAGAATGATCAGATATTGGAAGATATATTACCAGTATATTTCTCATTAACCTTATGTATCAACATTGCACAGCAAAATATATCTATAAGAACTTTGACATCAAGTCAGTCATCTAAATTTGACAAAACCATTACATTCATAATATCTCCCTATAGATCCCCAACCACATACCCACCAAAAACATACATCCTTATCTGCAGGTTTACATACAAATACAACTTTGGTGCCTTCATTTCATAGCAAACTCAGAAACCATCGCACAAAATATAGGAATAAATTAAAGGACTTAAATAAGTAGCGTTATTTAAATAACAGCATGACACCCACAGTCTCTTTGGTTCAGTAAGGCAAAGGTGACCTTGAAACAGCAGCTTCCACAGTGGGAGGGGGGCGGGGTGTTTGGGACATGTAGTGGTGTTGGTTTGTGCTCCTTCCTCACATAAAGTCAGAGTCTTTCTGTTTTCATCACCAGCTCAACAGTGTGTGCGTAGATCGCTGCAAGTGATGACACACATACTCCTTCAATGGAGACAGTTGTGGACATTATTAATACAACCTGTTGATACAGAGACAGTGTTCGTGCTATTCTTAATAACCCACAGAACATGCAGTCAACTCTTCTAAGTAGGAGGGGGGGGGGGGGAGTTTAATTTGAAACAGAGCATTCTTCTATAAGCTGATTTTTAACAACATACACATTTAGGTATAATAGTTTGGGTAATATAGATGTAAAAGATTGTTATGGTAACTTCAGGTATGGTGTGCTTATAAGGAGAATGATGGTACAGAAGGATCTTTTTGGACACATGGAAGTTGCTGTTTCAAAGATTGCTCCCAAAATAAACATTTCAAGTCACTTCTAGTTCTGATAGACTTTAAAGTAAGGCTAGTTTTATTTATCTACAAATCCTAAGTAGAATGAACAGTCAGTGTGTTCACACTCAACTTGACTGCCATCAGGTCAACTTAGGTCCAGACAATGACCAGGAAGCATGTGTGTGTTCCTGTATGCACATACAGTGTGTGTGGATGACTGCTGCAGAGGAAACCCTGCTGCACTTCAGCTCTGCACAGCAACACACCTGTGTGTGAGTGTGTGTGAGAGAGAGAGAGAGAGAGAGAGAGAGAGAGAGAGAGAGAGAGAGAGAGAGAGAGAGAGAGAGAGAGAGTGTGTGTGTGTGTGTTCATCGTGGAGGCAGTACAATCAAAGTGCTCAGTGCTCCTTCAACCTGTGGAGTAGAGACAAACATTAACAGCATATTGATAAGTTGGGTGTCATTAAGTTTTACAGTGTGGAGCAACACACTCTGCAAACTGAACGTGTTGTCCATGAAGAACACAATGACTGAGGAAGGCTCTATATACTTTAATACAAAGTAATCAAGGCAGGGTTTCACTGATATATCAAACATGTCCTAAAGTGGAGATCCTAAAAGACCCCTACAGCTGAAATAAACCTTTCAGTGCCATCCAATCCTGAAGTCGTTGCCTTCTTTTCTATGAGTGATTCTCATAGTGGCACCTTGTTCTCTGAAGTATAGGACTCTACTGCTGGTGAATTCTTCATCTTACATTCTGTGGCCTGATGGCTATCATATCTCAATACATGTATGCAATGTTAAATGAAATGATGATAAAGATGGATTGAGTTGCCATCTTGTGGCACTTGAAGATATTCCTGTAAAATGCGATGGCTCCACCTTTACTGTGTAGCCATCGCTGTCAGGGAAGGAGAAGCAGAATGGCCTTCAGGTCCCTTTAATAACTAGTGAAGAAACAAACTCTTTCTCTAGAAGAATCTCTACCCACCTGCCCTTATCTTTTTCCAGAATACAAATGTTTTATGAACATTATTTCTCCTTAGGTTGTTTTCGCTAAAGAGGAGAAAGCTATCAAATGATAAATATTGTTTTTAAATCGATAGACACCACTCTCCAGTGAATGTGTTGCTTGTTTTGCAGAATGTTCAGTTTGCAGTGGTCTCTTGATTTCTAAACTATTCCAAATCAAAATGATCTGTTTCTCTGGTTTTACGGGTATGTGTTTGAGTAAAACACGTTTTGTTCTATAAACAACTTTTCTCCTAAATAAAAAAAACTGTTATTACTTTCATTTAGAGCATATATTTGATTCAAGGTCTGATAACACTGCTTCTTTTTAGTTTTCCTTTTATGAAGATTAAAGTTCCCTAAATGGTAAACCGATGTAAACAAATGTTGTCAGTGGTTTATAGAATCAAAGACATTTTTGTATTTGACTAAACACAAACACTGTTCCCTCTCCGCCCTGATCTTTTTCCAGAATCCCTTCTTTCAGGTTTCAATGCCCCTCACCAGTAAATGTGTTTTCTTTTCAAGCATGAACAATTTGTTCCTAGCTTTCAAATATATAACATAATTCGTTTTTTTTTTAATTGAGACTTTTCACAATTACATTTTATATACTTCTACTTAATATAAGTGGAGAACAATTTGACATGCACATTTAGATATTAAATCAAATGAATTCATAACGAGCATCTGTGAGAAATGGGCGAGATCATCCAATAGAAACAGAAGCTTGAGTGAAATGATGACAGAAGCATGACTTACTCTACAGCCGAGATGGGAGGGGATTTAGATGATGTCAGCTCCTTTGTCACAAGCCGTAACAAGCACTGCACACAGACACAAAGTTAAATATGAACCATTAGCCAGTCATTATTTGAAACATATTCCTATTTTCTAGTTCTGAATTAAAAAACTTCATGTATTGATTACTTTTATTTGGCGGCAGCAGAACACGCTGAAAACAAAGTATCTGATCACCTAATAAAGTGATTATGGCCAATTCAACATCATTTTGAGTCATCTTTGTGTCCACATGATGAATGTTATGTCCAACACTCACTCTGTTTATGGTCTCCACCAAGCAGAGCTTTTTGGCTCTGTAAAGGCTAAATGCTCAAATATGTTAACTAGCTACACCTGCTGTAGAGCAGCTGGAGGACAGCAGTCACAGCAGTGACAGCTGTAACAGACTTTTTAAACACTCACCAACAGAGCCAGGAAGTCAGCAGTCATCAGCATGTAGAATACCTGATCCCACCCCCCTGCAGACAGCAGCCCCGCCAGCAGGGGGCCCAGTGCTGCACCTGACAGCACAAACAAAAGGGTGTGAGTGTGTATTATCTTAACATTAGACTGAGGGGTAAGAGGAGATATGTGAAGTTGAACACCACTGAGCAGAACATTCACATCTAATGTTGGTGATAGTGATGGTAGGACGGACACATTGTTGGTTAGCTTTATCTTAACATTTTGATATTGAGAAACATTTGCTATTTTTGAATTAGATCTGTGTGTTTTCGCACCACCCTCTTCTCGTGTTGTCCTTTAGAACTTGTGTGAGCAGGAAGTCTCACAATGTGCTGCTTGGTTCTTCACTCTGTGTTTCAGTACAGACACACGTGTTGATTAGTGAGACTGACCTATAGATCCTGTGCCATCGATGATGGCAGTCACAGTGGACAACGCTCTGGCGTTGCCTTTCAGACTCTTGTGGGTGCCCTAGGGTCAAAGGTCAAAGAAGGAAATAAGAGGGCGCCTGAGCTGATTTAGTTTATAACTGTGTACAATTCATCAGACTGGAGTTAGAGTTAAACACACTTACCAAATCAGCAGAAACTGCCGTTGTGATGAGGGAGTATGGTCCATTGACTAACCCTCCACACACCAGCAGCATGCCTGGAACACACACAGTCATGGAGTTATGGAGTACAGCCGCCCACGTCCACTGTGCTCCTTTCTAACTCAATATTCCCCCTCATGCTGAAAATATATCTGGCATTTTGATCAAGTGTATGGTGCTTCAGTTTGGAGCTGAGAGCAGTACAGCAGCAGCTATGCTTCCCTGATGTCAGAGTGTGTTGTTATATTGATACTGCAGCTCACCCTCTGCTCTATCACACCGTGTCATCACAAACCCCCTGCAGGTATTGTGAGGTAATGAGCTGCAGCTCGGTGTGAATGATTAAAGAGTCGTCAGGGAGCCAGTGTCTGAATGAGACGCTGATGCTCATTAAGGCGTATCAACCAATGAGCATGGGATCAATTTAGCCAGGTCATCATGGGACCTCATTCATCTGGATCCATAAATAGCAGCTGGACACACAGAGGGATGATTTGCTGGTATGTGTGTTGATATAGTAATATACATCCTAAACTGTGTTCAGGACTGTTAAGAGAAGACAGAATTATTAAAACACAAACCTATCTGAAAAAGCTTTGCTTTTACAAACCAAACAACTGGGAAGGAGTGTGTAAACATTTTGTTTTTGATTTGACCATATCATTGAGAAAAGGTTAGGTCAGAGGTTACTCCTTTCTGCACATCCTCTCCCCACCAGAGCTTCTGGTAAAGGTCACTGCTTTCCCTCACTGTAGGAAGTGACTCACTATATTCTGAAGTGTATTTCTAAAACGAAATAAAAGTGCATGCAAAACATTTCTCGTTTGAACAAGGTCCTTTTTGCATCATAAAAAACCTTTTTAAATCATCACTTAATACTAAATAAATCTGTATGAATTCAACTCCCCCACCAAAACAAAGCCATCCATTAAATGAGCACATAACAACAGCATTGGTGTAGCTTTTTTCTGAAACCAGAAAAGCTTCATTTTGATAACCCACAACCCATTGCTTCTCTAAAGAATCAGTGAATAAACACTAATGGACATCCTGTCCTCAGCAGAGAGAGATCTTACCGATGGTTGGCCCAAACCCAAACTCGCTGATCATGGAGAAGCCATACAGCTGCAGGACAGAGAGAAAACACGAGGGTCAAACACTCACACGCTCAATCACTGTTCACATGTACACCAGCCTGATGTTACCTTCATTTCAAGTGAAAGGAGAAATGTAAAGAGCATATCTGGTTTTAATTGGTCCACACTGTGCTGGAGCCTCTTTTGTTATCAGAAAGAGCTTCAAGTAGCACTAAATACGCCTTTCCTCTTCATGGACACAAACAAAAAACACTGTGTAATCTGTCTAACGCTCTGCTGCTAACAAACAAACACATTTGGCCTCACTAAGAAAGTTTGCAGAAAGTGCAGCACAGCAGGAGGAGCATGTTTAAACCGTGAGTCTGAACAATAAGGAAGAGAAATCTAACAATGTTGAATTACTAACATAGTTAGAAGCCACTATGTTTGATGTACAACACTCACTGTAGGAGCAGCCAGCAGCAGCATGACTGCACAGGTGGTGGCTCTCTTCCCCAGCTTATCAGAGATCACTCCTGCCAGGATCCCCCCTGCAACACACACACACAATAAATGCAGACAGTTAGCATATAGAAGAATAGTTACTGTAGATGCACGCACCCACACTAATCTCTGTCTCTTTGTCTAGATAAGAGCAAGATAAAAAATATTAAAGTTTGAACAAAAGCACCTACCCACTATTCCTCCCACGTCAAACAGGGTGGAGAGATCTCCAGCCTTCTTTGCATCGAGGTGAGCTGACACACACACACACACACACACACACACACACACACACACACACACACACACACACACACACACACACACACACACACACACACACACACACACACACTACACACACACACACACCACACACACACACACACACACACACACACACACACACACACACACACAGCACACACACACACACACACAACACACACACACACACACACACACACACACACACCACACACACACACACACACACCACACACACACACACACACACACACACACACACACACACACACACACACACACACACACACACACACACACACACACACACACACACACACACACACACACACACACACACACACACACACACACACACACACACACACACATTATTTAGAGTCATTGCGTGCCTATTGCACCATGACACAATTCCATCAGATTAATGATAAAAACCTAGAGGACATTATTCAACTTCTGAAATCCTCCTCTTGCTGCCTTGATATTATTCCAACAGGATTTTTCAAAGATGTTTTGCCTTGCATGGCCTCAGATCTACTTCATATAGTAAACACATCTCTTCACTCAGGTATTTTTCCACAGGCCCTGAAAAACTGCAGTCATTAAACCGCTCTTAAAAAAGAATAATCTAGATGCTTCAGTAATGAACAATTACAGGCCCATATCAAACCTCCCATTTCTAGGTAAAATCATTGAAAAAGTTTGTTTTTCAAACAGTTTGAGTAATTTCTTGCATTTAAATAACTGTTTCGATGTGTTTCCAGTCAGGCTTTCGTCCAAACCACAGCACTGAGACTGCTCTTGTAAAGGTCTTCAATTGACATCCACTTAAACACAGACAGTGGCAGAACTTCAGTGTTAGTATTATTAGATCTCAGTGCTGCGTTTGACACTGTTGACCACAACATATTACTAGACCGACTGGAAAACTGGGTGGGACTTTCGGAAACAGTTCTGAATTGGTTTGAATCCTACTTAAAGGACAGAAACAACTTTGTTTCTATAGGTAAATACACATCTGAGTTGACAAATATGACATGTGGGGTACCTCAAGGCTCCATCTTGGGGCCTCTTCTCTTTAACGTCTACATGCTACCACTGGCTCAGATAATGAAAAACAACTAAATAAGTTACCATAGCTATGCAGATGACACACAAATGTACGTAACAATTTCACCAGGAGACTATGCTCCAATTCAAACACTGAGTAAGTGCATTGAACAAATCAATGACTGGATGTGTCAGAACTTTCTCCAATTAAACAAAGATAAAACTGAGGTAATGGTTTTTGGAGCCAAGTCAGAACGTATAAAAGTTAGCGCTGAGCTTCAGTGTGCAATGTTCAAAACAACAGATAAAGCCAGAAATCTAGGTGTAGTCATGGACTCTGACCTGAGTTTCAACAGTCACATTAAAACAGTTACTAAATCAGCCTACTGTCACCTAAAGAATATATCTAGGATTAAAAGACTAATGTCACAGCAGGATTTGGAAAAACTTGTCCAGGCTTTTATCTTCAGTAGACTCGACTACTGCAATGGTGTCTTTGCAGGTCTCACTAAAAAATCTATTAGGAAGCTGCAGCTGATTCAGAACGCCGCTGCTCGAGTCCTCACTAACACTAAGAAAGTGGATCACATCACTCCTGTTCTGAAGTCTTTACACTGGCTTCATGTGTGTCAAAGAATAGATTTCAAAATACTGCTGCTGGTTTATAAAGCACTGAATGGTTTAGGCCCAAAATACATTTCTGACCTCCTGCTAAATTATGAACCATCCAGATCTCTCAGGTCTTCAGGGACTGGTCAGCTTTCTGTCCCCAGAGTCAGAACTAAACATGGTAAAGCAGCGTTCAATTATTATGCTCCAAATATCTGGAACAAACTCCCAGAAACCTGCAGGTCCGCTGCAACTCTGACTACTTTTAAATCCAGGCTGAAGACTTTTCTTTTTGTCGCTGCTTTTAATTGAACTATCTATCTTAGACTGCACTGTAACTTTTATCCATGTATTTTTTCTTTTAATGTTTATTTTATTAGCTTTTCTTTTTAATGACTGATTTTAGATGCCATTTTCTTAATCTCTTTCATTTTTTGTAAAGCACTTTGAATTGCCTTGTGTTGAAAAGTGCTATATAAATAAACTTGCCTTGCCTTGCCTTGCCTATTGATTTGAACACGATCCGTGTATCCATAATTTCTTGGTCTTCTCTAAAGAAGAGGGACCAATGGAAACGTTGTCATGTTGCCGTTGTTCAGCATCAAAACATTCATTAGCTAACAATGACATTATTGTTCTATTCATATAGAGAGGCGAAGTCCCTCCCCTTCCGGTGGACCTCCATGGGACCTTATTTCGGAAAATATATGTATTGAAGTCAATGGAGAGAGAAAGATTATCTTTCGATCCCGTTTGAATTGTGCCACAAATTACACATATGATGTTTGTCAATTTAAAAGATAACTTTGCAAGTCAATTTTTTTTAAATGTGTCGTAAAACTGTGAAGTAACACATTTGTTTGTGTGAAACGCTGAATGAACTACATCTCTGGTCTCGCAGAGTAGCACAACAACACACGTCAACAAGATGGCCGTCACTACTGTCTTGTCAAAAAAGGGATTGACTACCCTCACTATCAACACAAGGAAACAAGTTGTGACGGCTGTTTCCTTGCCTTCTGCATTAACCGGCCAGTGAGCATTCTCTGTGTGTATATATGTGTGTGTGTATATGACTGCCTTTAGGTACTATGGTTACCGCGTTGGTGTGACGTTGTTTAGTTCCTCCCACCGGAAGAGATGTGGACGACGCTTCATGACGCGGGATGACGCTACTTAAGCTGAGACGCTGCTGTCATTCGGGGCGCTGGATTTGTGCCAGTACGCCACGCTGCTCTACTCTCCAAATGTGCTGTATGTTCTGTGACGGCGTTGCATTTGTGCTAGACGCCTCACTATTTTCGCCTTAAGTGCCCATGTTGTTCTGTGATTGTGATAATCTGTGGCCTCCTTTTGTTTACTTATATTATACCTAGACAGCTCCTTGTTTAAAGAGCCGATATTTGAGTTTATTATTAAAATCAACCTCTTACCAAGAACATCTGGTTTCGTGTTGCTTCCCTTTTACCCTAAACGAGCTGGGGACGTAACATATATGGGGGCTCATCATTTCTAATCAGGTTGGTAATTTAATAAATTCTAATCAGATGGTCAATTTGTAAGTATAGCTTAGGTTAAATGGCGTTATTTGACTGTGAGTCATTTGAATTATGTCCTTCGCTTGAAGGAATAGACAGGTGTCTAAAAGACCATTTATTTCAGATTGCAGATCATTTCGGTCTCACGGTAAAAGAAATGTAGTAAAAGAAGAGCTTAAGGCTCAGGTCATAGATCAGTTGGTAGAACGGGGTGTCCTTAAGTTGTCCGGCGAATCAAAGTTGGCTGTGTCTGACGGTACCATGGCCCATATGGAGTTCACACAGGAGCTTGACGGGGAAACCCAGGCTGCTGGCGCGTTGGGAGGGCAGGAGGAGGAAGGTACACAGCGGGAGACGCCGGGTACACTTCCTCGATTCGATGCACTATCCACGGCAAGTGATGGCTCTCAAGATGTGGCGAGGATTAAAGTCCGCACAGCACGTCTCGAGATAGAGGCTAAGGAGCGGGCCGGGCAGGCACAGCTACAGTTTCAGCTGGAAATAAGGAAGCTGGAGATGGATGAGAAAATAAGACTGCGTCAGCTGGAGCTGGATGCGCAGGCACGCGCACCAGACCCGCCCGCAGGTATGACACCCAGTTCCACTAACTTGAATTCTGTTGGCTTTGATATTAGCAGAAATATTTCTTTGGTTCCGGTATTCCGTGAGACTGAGGTAGATGCATATTTTAGCGCATTTGAGCGCATTGCAGGGGCGCTGAAGTGGCCAATAGAGGACTGGCCCCTTTTACTGCAATGCAAAATAGTCGGAAAAACTCAGGAAGCTGTTGCTGCTCTCGAAGTGGGAGACAGTCTTGTTTATGACTCAGTCAAAACTGCCATCCTTTGTGCTTACGAATTAGTTCCAGAAGCTTACAGACAAAAATTCCGTAATCACAAAAAAGATTTGCATCAAACATATATGGAGTTCGGCAGGGAAAAGGGAAGCATGTTTGATAAATGGGTCACAACATGTAAAGCGAATGATTTTGTTTCTCTGCGAGAATTGCTTCTGTTAGAAGAATTTAAGAAATGTTTGCCGAATCGTATTGTGGTGTATATCAATGAACAAAAAGTAATGTCTCTGTCCGCTGCAGCCGTGTTAGCAGATGAGTATGTTCTGACTCACAAAGCTGTATTTTGTCCTGTGTCTGCTGAGGAGCCCCGTGGTGTGTCAGTTTTGCCATTTACGTTTCCCATCCAAGCAGCTAAGGTTAACAGAGAGGAGAGAGAGTGTTTTTACTGTCGCAAACCTGTGCATGTCATCACCAACTGTTTAATGCTGAAACGCAAAGAGCCGCCGCAGTTAGGCACATTAGATTAGTCCTTCACCTCCTCTTACTACTCCTCTTACTACTCTTTTTAACCTCTCCCTCAGCTCAAACACAATTCCAAAATTGTGGAAGTCAGCGTATGTCCTGCCTTTGCTAAACGGAGGGGAGGCCACCTTATTAAATAACTATAGGCCAATCTCTAAATTATCAGTTCTGGCTAAGGTTCTTGAACGCTTAGTGAGTGAACAGGTAAAGGTGTTTTTATGTACAAATGACATCCTGTCTAAACATCAGTCAGGCTTCAGAAAGCAACACAGCACCATCACTGCCACAATGAAAGTGGTGAATGATGTGGCGAGTATTTTAGATAATAAGCAGAGTTGTGCAGCTCTATTTATTGACCTGTCCAAAGCGTTTGACACCGTCGATCATCACATTTGAAAGCAGAGGCTAGCCAGTATAGGCATGTCCAGCCATGCAGTGGGGCGGTTTGTAAACTACCTCTCTGAAAGGTCCCAATGTGTTCATTTTGATGGGCTGTCTTCTGAGTGGTTGAACATTGCAAATGGTGTTCCCCAAGGTTCTGTTTTAGGTCCACTTTTATTCTCCATCTACATCAATAGTTTAGGTGAAAATGTGGATGAAGCTACTTTACATTTTTATGCGAATGATACCGTGATGTACTGTGCAGGTCCCTCCGTTAAGGAGGCTGGTGTTAAATTACAGGCTGTTTTTAACATTACTCAGACTCAGCTCTCTGAACTAAAGCTTCTTTTAAATGTTGAGAAAACCAAGGTAATGCTCTTTTCTAAAGCTAAAAAGACACCAGAGCCTGTTGTAGATATTGTAACTACGCAAGGAATAAAACTTGAAGTGGTTACCTGTTACAAACACCTAGGTATCTGGCTTGATGATTGTCTCACTTTTAAACTTCATGTCAATAACCTGCTTAAAAAGCTGAGGGTTAGGCTAGGTTTCTTCTACAGGAACAAGTCCTGTTTCTCGCTTGAGGCCAGGAAAAGGCTAGTCACTGTGACCTTTTTACCTGTGCTGGACTATGGTGATTTGATGTATATGAATGCACCTGCCAATTGCCTGGTCAAGTTAGATGCTGCGTATCACAGCGCACTGAGATTTGTGACAAACTGTAAAGCATTAACCCATCACTGTACCCTGTATGCAAGGGCTGGTTTGCTTTCACTAACTGTACGGAGGCTCAGTCACTGGTAGATTTTTATATACAAAGCCATGTTAGGGAAACTTCCATCTTATATCTGCTCCCTGATCTCACGGGAAATTGTAAGTGGCTACTGCCTGAGATCGAATGCTGTGGTTTTATTAAATGTGCCAACTGCTAGGACTGTCTAGGGAAGACAGCTTTTAGATGCGCAGCTCCTCTGTCTTGGAATAGTCTGCAAATTAAATGGAAACTGAACAATCTGGTGCCACTAAATGTTTTTAAAGCTCGGTTGGATGCTACTCAATCGGAAGCTATTGGTAGCTGTTTATGTGGATAATTATGTAAATGATGCTGTATGATGTCCTTTTGTTGTTCTATTTATGTTTTTATGTTTCATGTGGAACTACTTGAGCAGGTCTCCCTTGAAAAAGAGATCAATGATCTCAATGGGATTTATCTGTATAAATAAAGGTTTGAAATTAAATTACATTTTGCATGATAGTTCCCCTTTAAGTACATTTCGAAGCCCATACTTCTTTACTTTTACTTGAGTAAAGAAGTTTAGTCAGTACTTCTACTTTTACCAGAGTATTTTTAAACACGAGGATGTGTACTTCTACTTGAGTAAAGGATGTGTGTACTTTTGCCATCTCTGCACACGGTACATGTTGGTATTACACTGAGTGCGCTGCTCTGCCTTCACTCACAGCACAATAACACAGTGGCGTCACTCAGCTGTGTATCAGTGTGCTGATCACATCACAGCTATATTACAGTGTGGAGAGGTCAGTGAAAGGCCCCTCTCAGACAATACCTCTTTACACTGGTCTGATGGGCTTAACATGTGGCCCTCTCGGAATAAAACCTGACTTCAACGTGAGGTCACAACAACAATGCTACAGGGTCAGCGCCAATTAAGGTATTATTACTCAGCTGTTTTAAGGAATCCAACAACACTGTAACAGAGTCAGTTGTATCATATATATATATACACCTGGCTGCTAAATCCTAAGAACTGTTACAGGATGTGTATTTTGTAAATTGTGTAACTTTTTATTTTATTCAAAAAAAATGTATACTTTTTTTATGCATGCTTCTATGTAACATTAAGCTGTCTTTGGCTCTTTTTCTGCTGTAACAACGTACATTTCCCCTCTGAGGGACTAATAAAGGTATTCTGATTCTGATCTGATCCGATATAAAAAACATGTCTATGAAGTGTTTTGCTCAAAATACCAAACAGATCACCCATTCTAGCCATGCCTCATACCCCTCTATTTCAACCCTGTTACAAAAGTGCTGATACATGAGAGTAACACACTTCCGGGCAAAAATAACAGCTCCGCCCACTTTTGGGGGACAACAAAGCTGTCATTTGAATGGCGGTCAATACAAATTCTGAAGTTTTAGCCAATCCGATCAGAAATTTAAGAAAACCATGGATTTTTGGATCTTCCGTAATTTTCACCCGAAAGTGTAGGTGTTACTCTCATCTATGATGGTATAAAGCTTAAAAAAAAAGAGGGGAAGGAGCTTATGCCTGCTCATGCGGGAGATTCTACTGGCAGATTGTCAGCTAAACACGGCTGTGATTAAACGCCATATCATGTTAAAAACCACATCAAGGATTATTTCTGAAACAGTATGGAGCTCAAATGCTTTTTCTCTTGCGGGTTTACCACAAGGTGAGTTCCTTTTTTATCCTGATTTTGTACACATACTCTCTCCAGTACAGGTTAGCTCTGAGTGTTAGCGATGCTAATGTAAACAAAGACCATATTACGTCCAAAACAGTCGTGCATTGTTTCTGATAGCAACGTTTCTGATAGGACCGTGGGTGTAAAGCATGCCCACATTTCTGATATTACGTCATATCGGCAGCAAATCTGGATCAGCTCCGTTGTTGTAAAAAAAAACGTTTTTAGAGATTTGCGCACGGAGGAAAAGAGAGAGGGTTGTATTTTCTGACACTTTGTGAGTTCCCTGGCACACCGGGGACACATATTTATGTATAAAAGACATCAAAAGGTGATTTTTGCATAATAGGTCCCCTTTAACTTAAATCAACAACTTTAATCTCTCTTAGCTTATCACACCAGCCTTGTTTAGTCCGGTTGAATCGAACCCTGGTGCGTTTAGCCGCTTGGTGCGGTTCGTTTGGGTTGGTGTTAACACATTCCGAGACCTCTGAAGTTAACTAAACAACCGGACTCTGGTCCGCTTAAAAGAGGTGGTCTCGGACCGCTTGCAAGTGAACTCTGGAGAGGTTCATCGCTGGTGTGAACGCAGTCCGCACCAAAACATAGGAAGCGTAGTATTTACGAGTCACAAGAACGCAGATGTCTTCAAAATCTTTAGCGAAAGAGTGAAGCAGATTGAAGTGTTGTGTAAAAGTAAAAATGCTCCGTCAACTATACATACAATTCAGAGCCACCTGTCGTCGGTGAAACCTCCTCCTTACTGTAGAACGTCTCTCATTATATGTGTTATAATGTTTTTAACGCATGTTGTCTGATTATATAATCATATTACCGGTTCGAGTCTCGGAACGACCAAGTGACTATCGAGGTGCCCCTGAGCAAGGTGCTGTCCCTATACTGCTCCCCGAGCGCCGACCTAATGGCTGCTCACTGCTCCTAACAATAGGATGGGTCAAATGCAGAGGTTAGTCCGTCAGTGGCTCAGTCAGTAGGGGCTTGGACTGGGAGCTGTAGGGTCGCCGGTTCAAGTCCCCGACCAGATCTAAAATATGGAGTGTGGACTGGTACTTGGAGAGGTCCCAGTTCACCTCCTGGGCCCTGCCGTGGTGCCCTTAAGCAAGGCACCGGACATCCCTCTTCCCCCCTCACTCCCATTGCTCCCCGGGCGCTGTACAATAGCTGCCCACTGCTCCTAGTACCAGACTCCTGGTACTATGATGGGATAAATGCAGAGAACAAATGTCACTGTGTGTGCTCTGCATGTGTGACCATTAAAGAGGGTTTCATCCTTCCCAATTTGTGTTTAATGTAATGTCATAGAGAGGCGAAGTCCCTCCCTTTCCGCGGGAGCTCCATGGGACCTTATTTCGGAAAAATTATGTATTGAAGTCAATGGGGAGAGAAAGATTATCTTTCGATCCCGTTTGAATTGTGCCACGAATTACACATATGATGTTTGTCAATTTAAAAGATAATTTAAGTCAAGAAAATAAAAATGTGTTGTAAAATGTGAAGTAACACATTTTTTTGTGTGAAACACTCAATGAACTACATCTCCCGTCTCACACCACACACCAAGACGGCCGTCACGTTGGCACATTTCACTTCTTTCTTTCAGAATGAGGCGGAAAGTATTAAAAGAGGTGAAAATAACTCCAAGTCTGGGCATGTTGAGAGCTGTACATACACACAAGGGGAGTTAGTCGGTTCCGTGAGAGCCAGCATGCGGGACTGGGACTCTGGGATTTGTAGTCTTTCTAGTTGCGTATTTTTCATAGTCTTATATTTCAACAGTTTTACGACAAACTGTGACTTTTTTGACATGGAAATTATTTTTTAAGATTGACAAACATCATATGTGTAATTCGTGGCACAATTCAAACGGGATCGAAAGATAAGTTTTCTCTCTCCATTGACTTCGATACACAATTTTTCCAAAATAAGGTCCCATAGATGGGCGGGACTTCGCCTCTCTATAGCTCTAAGAATATGTCCACCTCCTTGGGTAAATACTGTATGCCCTAATGTTTAATATTGTATCAGTTAAACATTGAGAACAGGCACATACAGAAAAAAAAAGAAAAAGGATTCAATGGATTTATATTGTCTTGACATTACTTTGATTCGTTGATATCAGTAAGAGATCCTCACCAGTCTTGGTGATGTAGAGCGGCAGCCAGAAGAGGAAGGTGTAGCTGACCAGCTTTGCAAACAGCAGACACAGAGAGAACTCGATCACTCCCTGCAGAGACAAAGAGCACACACACTAATAAAGGTTGTTTGGAAGAGTTGATTTATTGTGACTGAATGACAACTGTCATTATCAGTAAAAACATCCCACGGTAGCGACCTTGACCTGATGGACCAGTCTCATACAGACACATCTGGCAGCATATGTTTCCACGAGACATAAAGAGTTACTTTAACAATGCATTATATTATTATTATTATTGTGGGGGAAACTTCTGTGTAGCAATGCAGTGGGAGTCACCGACTCAGGAAGGAGACACGGGGTGAGCTGGAGCTTTGATGTCAAACACTGATGGTTTATTTAGGAGGTTCGGCCGGAGGATTCACAAGTCACAACAGCCACGGTCTGACTGCACGGGAGAGTTGCCACATCGATTCTGGAGCGCCTCTCTCTCGTTAGCCCATTTAACTGGTTTCACTGGTAATCAACATATTTGAGAAGATAGCCTAAACAGTTGGGAACACTGAGTTACTTGCGTCTGACACTTATGGCCTCGAAGATTTCACACCTTGGAGTCCACAAACACTGAGAAGGAAGTGTCCCAGTGCACCCACAACAATAAACCATCTGTGACCTAGGGTTGCCCGGTCATAGAATGGGAACAACAACATTATGGCTGAAGCAGCCTATCTCCTTAAAGGAGATAACAGACGTCAGGGTTGGTCATGCACGTCATATCTAGGAGTCTAGGACAATTATTTCCCTAACAATTATTATACTATTACTAGTAACCTGTAAACATTTATATAGTAAAGTGTGTGTGTGTGTGTGTGTGTGTGTGTGTGTGTGTGTGTGTGTGTGTGTGTGTGTGTGTGTGTGTGTGTGTGTGTGTGTGTGTGTGTCACTGACTGGTATACGTAGAGCTCCCATGAAGCTGATGGCGGACGGTTCGGATTCCCTCTTCACCACCACGACGGTCTGCGCGGGGACACACACACTGTCGCTGGGCAACAACAGCTCTGTGTCGTAACTCTGCAGGAGAGGAGCAGAAGCATCAGGGCCACAGGAGAAACACCCCTCACATGGACAATGAAGTCAACACCCAATCGTCAGTACCCTGGTTTTATATTTTTCAGTGAATTTTTAGGCAGAAAGACCATGCAGGAACAGGATCATTTGAACGGTGACCTCTGACACATTGTGTGGTAGTAAATCAAAGAGGGGAACAGAGGCATAATGGGTTTGAGGAGTTATAGAGAGGATTGTATCCAAATAAGTCACCAGTTACACACCTTTGTCAAAAAAATTGAAATGCAAGCATTAATCAGCCTGCTGACTCTTTAGGTGTAATGGATGAACGGGGTCTGCCATATAGACCAATACATCAGGTGACAGCAAGACAAAACTGAAGTGGACAGAGCAATTGCATAAACCCGACCCAACTATATTTCCAAAGAGGTTCCAGAAACCCTGAGGCTGAACCCAAATGTTCCCACGTCCCCACAGCTGCACACTGGTGGACTTTGCCGGCTTTGCCGTTTTTAATAAAAATATATCATATTTATCAAGGTAACATGGATTCTATGATACTGTATGTGTTAACGATGTGCCACAAAGGTTCAGTATATGTCTGTGAAAATAGTTAAAAGTTAATATAGGAACATGACCTCGATCATTTTTACATTGCGGATTTATCGTACAATATATGAACGAAAGCTCAATCATTTTTGCTGCCCTCCATATTGCCTGTTGTATGTATACATTAATCATCAGGGTTTTCACCAACAATTTAAGACATTGAATTGAAAATAGCTAGAGAGTCTATTTCATTTACTTTGTTAGTTGTGTGGTTTTATTGGATACATGTTTTATTAATTATTGTAGTGACCATGACCGGCCTAGCTCAGTCCACAAGTCCAGAGGAGCGCATTTGGATTCAGCCTGAGTATCATTTATTTGAGTTCCTTCAGCCCCCCACAAAGTCTGAAGGTGGCATCTGCTGAAGCAGCCAGGAAACAAACAGCTGGAAGCATTGACACAACTGACCTTCCTGTTTTGAACACTATCCTCATAATAGCAGTATGCCTAAATGAGAAGAATTGGAGGATGAAACCCTCTTTAATGGTCACACATACATGCACACAGCACAAACAGTGAAATGCAGTCTCAGCATTTAACCCATCTTAGTGCTAGGAGCAGTGGGCAGCTATTGTACAGCACTGGGGAGTGGAGGGGTGGGGTCCATATTTTAAGTCTGATCGGGGACTTGAACCTGCGACCCTCGGTTCCCAGTCTGACTGAGCCAATGCCGGACATGTATATCACACACACACACACACACACACACACACACACACACACACACACACACACACACACACACACACACACACACACACACACACACACACACACACACACACACACACACACACACACACACACACACACACACACACACACACACACACACACACACACACACACACACACACACACACACACACACACACACACACACACACACACACACACACACACACACACACACACACACACACACACACACACACACACACACACACACACACACACACACACACACACACACACACACACACACACACACACACACACACACACACACACACACACACACACACACACACACACACACACACACACACACACACACACACACACACACACACACACACACACACACACACACACAACACACACACACACACACACACACACACACACACACACCACACACCACACACACACCACACACACACACACACACACACACACACCACACCACACACCACCACACACACACCTGGTTTGGTTGTCATTGTATTGATGATACACTTCAGTGTGTCCATTTACTCCGTTCCAACTCTTGGTTGGAACCTGCTTGAAGACCAAATAAACACATTATTACTCACACAAGCTCAAGGTCATGTTTTCAGCGATCAAAATGATAGATACCGCGTTGTAGACATGGTACTTTGTGTGTGTGTGCGTGCGTGCGTGTGTGTGTGTCAGAGTTGCCACTTAAGATATCTTCTGTTGGAGGCAAACGTGTGGAGACTGTAGCTATGGTGACTGTTGCCATGCTTCATGTTGAGTGCCCTCCATGTAAGTGGGTTAAATATGCTTATTCATCAGAACCTCTGCATGTGAGCCAAGCTGCCTAGGTGACTTTGATAAACCAGTGAATGTATCTATCTCAATCCATCCAGAACTCGAGGCCTGCAGGCATCAGTTGGGCATCAATCTCTAAACTGTACCCCACATCATTCCTTAGAATCACAATCAGGTGTATTGCCTTAGTAAGTTTACACTTACAAGGAAATTGCTTTGGTGTATAATAGTGCGTACATAAACACAATAAGAGGAATTGAGCAATAAATTAGGAGCAAATACAGAAATGTTGAAAAAACTGTTTGAACAACAATTATAAAATTAAAAAGACAATTTTAACAACACATATAAATATATATATATATTTAATATAGAAAACAAGGATATACAATAAGAATATTACAAATTACTTTAAAAACTAAAATATGTGCAGTATATGAGAAAGTGGAAGACTGTGCGGTTTTATACAGAGAATTGAGCAAGGCTTATATAATGGAGAATGAGGAATGGCTCATGTGATGTGCATTAATGCAGGGAGTCTATGGAAGGGTTGAGATTATCTTCCAAAAGATATGTCCTTATTTGGTGTTGTTAGATAGTGGTGGAGAGTGTTGTCTGGGCACTTCACAAGTCACATCACATCACATGGCAACAGCTAAAAGACGCATAGAGTAATCTAATACAAATGGAGGATCACCTTCTCACAGCAGCTCACCTAGTGAGAGCCATACACACCACATTCAGATCAGAATCAGAAACAGGTTTATTGCCAAGTACGTTTACGCATACGAGGAATTTGCCTTTGTGTACATTGTGCATACATAAACACAGTTACATAAAATAAAAACTAAGAAAAACAACACAGGGGGGCTGCGTATGTTGTGATGGTATGTAGTCGAAGCCAATTTCCATGATAAAAAGGAGTCAGCCTCAGACTGTGAACTACATTCCTCTGAGCAGACTACAGGACCATGTGACAGGCTGTGAGAGGTCCAGCCACTCATCTGAGAGCACAGGGCTGCTCCTCTCTAGAGCCGCTCACACATCAGGTGGATGGGCTCACCTGTCCCTTAACTACGGAGCCCCTAAAAGGTTCATGACAAAAAAAAATAACTTTCTCGTGAGCACGATATACTTTCTTATGGTTAGACACAACGAACTGCCCGATTACCGCCATATTATTAGTTTTATGAAGATGTCCGGTCACCAGGGCGTGTGTGTGTGTGTGTGTGTGTGTGTGTGTGTGTGTGTGTGTGTGTGTGTGTGTGTGTGTGTGTGTGTGTGTGTGTGGGCATTTGTTTTCAGAAGATATTAGGATAGTGTTGTTAATTCCGGTGCACTCCGACAGGACTAAGCACTACATCGAGATTAAGATTAAACAAACTTCTTTCACTTGGGAATACACTATGGAGTTAGCCAGATGTGTGTAAATTACTGTTCATGGTCATTTGAAAACAAATGCCGGTGTCGGACACACACAGTGTTGGGCAAGTTACTTCCAAAATGTAATATATTACATATTACATATTACTCTCTTTTGAAAGTAATAAGTTACATTACAATATTACTGTCTCTGAAATGTAATGAGTTACACTACTTTTATATTACTTTTTAGTTACTTCACCAAAATAACCTCAAAAGAATGGCTAGGTATTTTAAATGCTGAAATGTAGTTTAGTGCAGCTCATTCTACATCCAGTGAAGGGCGATGTGGTGTAGCATAACAACTGTGTAGGCCCTTAAGGCTACTAACAACTTGCATTACACGGCTTGGTCAGGGTTCGAGTTATAAACTGAGCTCTATGGGGGTCTTTAAAACGCACGCACGCACGCACGCACACACACACCCTAAAATGAAGTCCGAGTTTGAAATATATCTCAAATAATGTATGCACTGCCATTTCCCCACGTAAACATAACAGTCTACAATGAAACGGTTGTCTCCTGTGCGCTCCACTTCCTACTTGGCGCACTGGTGTATCTCGTGCTCACGAAAAAGTATATCGTGGGCATGGAAAAAAAAAAAAAAGTATCGATATACTTTGTTTTCCCCCCATGAACCTTTAGGGGCTCCGTACTTAACAGTGTGGAACTAGTGAACATATTCTCCTTTCATGTCTACCCTCGTATACCTCATTATTTTATTCCACAGTAATGGAACACACTGAGGCACTGCAGGATGCTGGTACAGATTACAGTTACACATACTGTGTTGTCAAAGTAAAGTGTCAGTTTCTTAATATACTTTCTTTTTTGATGTTATAAAAGTTGTTCAATTATAAAAAAATCCGTTTTGCTCTTATTGTGTTTATGTATGCTCCATTTATTCAGCAAAGCAAATTATATATGAATAATATATAAATAATATATAATAATAAACTGGATTCTGATCCTGATTCTATCATTTGAGTTGTTACAAGAATTCCCAGCCTGAATACAACGAAAGAAGGCAATCTAAAGTTTCCAATTACCAAAGAAAGAAACTCTACTCACACGCTTGCCTGGAGACGTATTTTGAGCATACATGCTTTTCAGGTCATTTGGATCTGAAGAGGGGAAAACATGGCATAAAGATGCTTTTCCATATACAGGTGAAGTCATGTCATGCTCACAGCCGATTCTGTTCTTCAGTGAGCCAGCAAGCTAAAGAAACAGCTGCAGAAAGCAACTAGGTAACTACTCCCACAGCGAGTTACACCAATTTCTTTATGTGGTTACAACATGTGCAAACTGCATACACGAGGAACAACTCATTACGGCCACACACAAACGATTCATATATTGTAGCCCTGGAGGGGAGGCTGCACTTACGCTCAATGAGGAAGAAGAAGCAGACAACGCCCATGACTGCGGATGATGATCCCCGGGACGATGAAGGACATGGCCCCAGTTGAGGAGACCAAGTAGCCGGCAATCAGAGAGCCCAGGATGTTTCCGACGGAGGTGTGAGAGTTCCACAGCCCCATGACGAGTCCCCGCCTGACCACACACACACACACACACACACACACACACACACACACACACCCAACACACACACACATCACACACACCACACACACACACACACACACACACACACACACACACACACACACACCACACACACACAAGCACCACCACACACACACATAACACACACACACACACACACACACAACACACACACACACACACACCACACACACACACACACAACACACACACACACACCACACACACACACACACACACACCACACACAACACATTATGGTGTTGCATGCAGTAGCCACTATCTGAATCATTATAGTTGAATAGAGAAATGCTTTACACCAGGGGTGTCCCAAACCACGGCCTGGGGGCCAAATGCGGCCCACGGACCATTTTGAATCAGCCCTCAGCAAATTAAGTATAATGGAACATGGACAAGTGGTCTTATTAACACAGTAGTATTCATGTGTTAATAAGACCACTTTTCAAATAAATTCAGTCAATTAAAGTTGGACACATTTTTCTAACAAGATAAGATAAGAAAAAAGCTTAATGACTTATTTACATAACAAGCTTGAAATACACCCTTCCTATTTCTCCTTATTATGAGGCTTCTGTTTTAAGGGATGAGCTGCCAACACTCACAAGCATAATTGACATACATTTGATTGATTTTGCTAACTTAAACTGAACTTATGAGGCAATAAACCTCTAGTTAGTGGCCCAGTCCTTCGTATATTTTTCTGTATGTGGCCCTCGGTTACAAGAGTTTGGACACCCCTGATTTACACTTTCCTGTGATGACACTGCATGCACTGTTACTGTGCCTCTGCAATCGTTTAATTAGATTCATAATGTCCTCTATACCAGTGGTTCCCAAACTTGTTGTGCCCAAGGCACACCAAAGGACAAGTAAAAATCTCAAGGAACACCTATTGTGCAAAATAGCCCTTATAACACGTGTTATCACTCATATCTTGTAAACTATCTGTAAATGTGCATAATTATTTACTAATGCCAAATAAAATGTGACAAAGACAACTATATTACTCATGAAATATTTAAGAAATTAATTTGAAACTTTATCAAATTAGGCTTCATCAAAGCAGCAACACACTCATTTAAACCAGACAGGTCACAACATAAAAAATGAGGCAAAGGAAACTCAGCAGAAATTCAGCACAGAGAACTGTCAATGCAAGGAAGCTGCATTGTCCATGGTCCTGAACTACAAATTATAAATGTAACATTTCAGCAATCAGCATTGAAACATGTGCTATTGTAAATATTTTGCCGACTTACAAATGAGTGAGATACATGTGCCTGTCGGGGCGCGCAGATTTTTTTAATCCTTGGTGGCACTGAGGAGAGGGCCACTCGCAAGTCCTGTTCAACAGAGAGCCGTGACCTCCTGTTGTTCTTCATGTAAACCAGAGTAGAGAACGCCAACTCCAGAGATGGGGTCGTTACTAAAAAAATGTAATATATTACATATTACTTAAATAAAATAATATATTACACTACTTCGTTACTTTACTCGCCGAGCACGTACGAACTGCGCATGCGTGAGTGGCAATAACTTTCCTTACCAGCAGGCGGCGGTAGTGTGTATTTGTCATTCAAAACAGGCAACAACTGGAAGACAGAGAAGAAGAACAGACGACGTGATATAAACCAGAGCCATATACGGCTCTGATATAAACAAACAACAAATAGCTGTGCGGTAGCTTCACCTTAGCATGTGTTCTTTGCAGGTGCTTGTTGAGGTTTGACCACGTGGTGTTTCCAGCAGTGGATAACAGCTTCTGGCCTGGACACAGTTTGCACCTCACCGTCACATTCCTGTCTATTCTTCGGACGAACTCAAAATAATGGGCATACCTCCACCCCTCGAAAGTTATCGCTGACTCAGCCATGTTTATGCAGCACTGCACGTGGAGATGTGGACGCGCAAGTCGCGCAGATTACGTACATATAAACCTACAAAGTACTGGTATAGTCAATTAAAAAATAATTATTTTTGTGTAGTTGTATATTGCAATAATAACGTATGGTTGTCACAAAATCCCACGGCACACCAGTGTGCCGCGGCACACCGTTTGGGAACCACTGCTCTATACCACATAAGTTGTTTCATTATTGAAAACAAAGGCAAATGTCTTGGGGTAAAACAGGAGTACTCCTTTATCTCCCTGAGTGGACCAGAGTAGAGGCACAATTGCCCCTTTCCCACCAAAGCAGTTCCAGGGTCAGTTCGGAGCTAGTGCCCGATTAAGCACCGGTTCTTCCTGTTTCCAACAAACTCCAATTCTTATCTGGCCCCACTCGACTGCCCGTCAAGAACCACAAACCAAATACGTCACGCTTATGTCTGAGGCGGGCCAGGAGTGCTGAGCAAAGTGACTAGACCACACACTTACAAAAAACACACTTCTATAAAGCCAGTCAACACTAACCAGGCATAGTGTGATGCTGTTTGTTTTTACCCTACTTTAACGACCATCCGTTCTCTGTTATTTCCCGTTTTGAAGACCAGCACACTGCCTCATACGATTTCCCGTTGTTTTTTATTAGAGCAGCTGTCGGGTGGAATCAGTCCATGGGCTACACAAGTTAAATCATAAAGACAAATACACAGTTTAGGTGTTAGACTGCAGCCTGCCACTCGTCCTCCAGCAGACTGACCGGAGATCATTTCCTTATTGATTTAAATTAAACTATAAATTGACGCAGATCATCGATCTCCAGTGAAATGTTTTAATAGTTTGCCTGTCTGAACACCATAATTGGGCATCTTGTAGATAAAACAATACAGTGAATACTTTCCAGCTGATCCTGCCGTGAGTTAACGGTAGACTAAACGGTAGACTAAACGGTAGACTACTAAACGGTAGACTACTAAACTCCAGTGGACGAGCAACGGTCGGTAAATGCCGCTGAACCACATTAATAAATAATGAACCAGGGCACTCTTGGAGAAAAGTGTAAGGGTTGAGAATTAGTTCTTTAATTTAATCTGGCTTCGTATGATTAAAAGCAACACGATCATCAACGCAGTCCCCCATTGTTGTTGTTGTGAGCGGCGTTGGGGAGAAAATCAGCGACGTAAACGGTGACGTCATGACGACGCAGCAGCAGTCGGGCTCTGAGTGATGGAAACACACCTGGGGCTAAAAAGAAGAACCGGTTCGCACTAGCACGGAGCCTAAACGGGAACTGGTATTTGCCCACTCATCCTCAGCCGGTCTTCTAACCATCCCACCTCACACCTCCTCACCATGGATGCTGTGCTTTTAGCTGCACTGCCCCTGGCTCTGGAACTCTCTTCTCCCACATATCAGACAGTCTGACACATCCCACAATCTAATCCACCTCTAACTCACCAGACTAGGATACTCGTAACATGCTATCTAACCTACTACCCTCATACCTTCACACTCATTGCCCTGCTTGTGCTTTTGTCATCACATGTCTTGCTGTTTTTCTCTGCTTGATTATTTATTTTTGGCAAGGCAAGGCAGAGCAAGCAGCCTGGATTTAAAAGTAGTCAGAGTTGCAGCGGACCTGCAGGATTCTGGGAGTTTGTTCCAGATATTTGGAGCATAATAACTGAACTTCTCCATGTTTAGTTCTGACTGACAGAAAGCTGACCAGTCCCTGAAGACCTGAGAGTTCTGGATGGTTCATGATTTAGCAGGAGGTCAGAAATGTATTTCTTCCCTGAACCATTCAGGGCTTTAGGTGTACTGTATTATTATTACTGTATTATTATTGGTGACTGACTCATTACCTATCAGGTCTTCTAACAAAGCAGCAGCAGGGCAGGTTCACTGGTAAATGTGTCTTTGATCACTCAACAACAGATTCAACACAAGATATGTCCACGTATGTAGTCTGTGGCTCAGTGTCCCCGTCAGCTAATGAGAGCAGTGTTGGTCATTGTTTGATCTAATATTTTACATACAATGTTGTAACTGGCTACATGAAAAGTAACTACAACTACATCACTGGTTAATGTATACAGTGGATGCAATCATAAACCAACAAATTGATAATTTCTCCTTTCTAGGTGGAGCATATCTGTATAACACCACGTAATAATGTGTATCAGCTCCTGATGTTACTGTACAGTGAGTGATATAACACTGTCAAATATAAAATTAAAGCCATTATATAATTAGAATAAACCAACCTTACATACTGTCATGGAAATCACACAAAACCACTAACTGTTCATGAAACACTGTACATCCAACCAGAAGCCAAATTCAAATCCATAATGAACGTGAGGGTTTGACCTTACCTTCCTTTTCCAAACCAGTTGCTGATGCAAGTTACTACACTGGGCCAGCCGGTGGTCTGGACTAAGCCATTGGCCACCTGAAATCACAAGAGGATGAATAGACATATTCGTTTAACAGTGAGATACACACCCTGTATTATTGCTCTGTTGATGCATGGGTAAATGAACCTGGGATTATGCACGTGTACTGTATATGTATGCGTTCCCTTCTTTGTGTGAATATTCATCTGTGATTCTCTAGGAATTTGGAGTTGCAGGAAAGTTTATTAATTCTCTCCTGTGGGGGCGGCTGTGGTTGTCCTCCAATCAGAAGATTGGTGGTTCGATCATCTGCAGTCTAAATGTTGATGTTTCCTTGTCCATTATACTCAACCTCAAATTGCTCTCGATGGCCAACAGTGTGTCTACGAATGTCATATTCCTTCGGCAGGAGCACCTTGTATGGCCTCTGCCTGTGTATGAATGTGCGTGAATGCTGACTTTTATATGTAAAAGCACTTTGAGGGGTTACAAAGACTGGAAAAGATATTCAAACAGGCAGGCCAGTAACCATTTGGTAAGACACCCTAGAATCTAGATGGTCCTTGTGAAAGAGACTTTATCCTAACAGCTTCTATCATAAACCAACAGATATCTCTCCTGCAGAGAGCTGAAGAGGATTTCCCCTGTAGCAGATGCAGCTGTTGGTGTCGTACAGTGTGTTCACTGTGTGTGCCTCTGTGGGCTCTTTAGTGCAGTTTCACGACTCACTGATGCAACTCACCTGCACAAACACATAGAAGCCCATGTTGTGGATGTTGTAGACATAACCCAGTCCAAACAGGCAGGTGAACAGGCCACTACTCAGCATGCCCACGGTCAGGTACAGGCGGATAGGCAGGCGCTCACCGATGATGCCGCTGCATGGGTGCACAGTGGTGACATCATGTGAGGCCCAACTTCTAACTCGTCAATAATGTTGGTAAGTGTCTCCCTACATGCAAGCTTTGTTTTACAACCTTCAACCTTTTGTATGTTCAATCAGAGCACTGCACAGCCTCATAGCACTCAGATCCAAAACAAATGATGCAAAAATGGATAAATTCAAACTGTTGATTGGGTTTTATTTTTGTATGCAGTTGATATCATCTTACCCCTGGAAAAACATGTCATCCGTATCTGGATGTGCTGTAAATATGTGCTAGCAGCTACTACTAACAGGAAGAGGAGCAGTCTATGTCTTCAGAATGTGGTCATGCTGGATGGACTGCATGTACACATAACTGAAAACATATGCATGCATTAACATTATTTTTATTATGTGGCCAGAAACAGATTGTATGTTAAGTGTTTGAGGTGTAAATGTGAGTTTTTTGTATTTATTTAGATATATAAAAGGGTTGAATGCCCTTCCCTAATAACACATGTATCTGATTAACGGATTTCACTGATTGTCAACAGCTTTATGTTTTGATTATTTATGTCCAGTTATTGTATTAATTGAATTTGGTTCTTCTTGCTTTCCTACCTGAGGTACATTCCCACAGCGTAGGCACAGAGGAAGGAGTAGTCCATAGCTCCCAGCAGCTGTCTGTAGTTCTTTTTGTCTGAGAACACAACAAATATAAGATTTATTTCTGTTTACACAAACATGTATGCTTAAGGGTAAGTATACTCTTTTTAACCCCCCCCCCCACACACACACACATACACAAAAAGAAGTGAGGAGTGAAGCATATACAGACCGAAAGGCTTCCAGCTACAGTCCATGTCTGTGTGGATCGACTGCGGGCTGCCGCTGCTGGAGGCTAAGGTGGCGATCTCACTGACAGAGGAGCAGTTCTTATGGAGCTCGCTCTGTCAAAAACAATGAGTGCAGCTTCAGTGAACAGACCTGTGTTTACTATCCATACCAGTTAGACTTCAAACATGAGTCCTTATTATAGAGGCTCTTCTTCCCAGTGGTGGAAAGTAACTAATTAATTTCACACTAAAGTACTATTTAGACATATTTGTACTTAAGTATTTACATTTAGTGCTACTTGTTAGAGCCACAATGAAGTCAACGTTATTATTTTGCTTCATAGTTTGATAAATGAATTAATGATGGAAAAGGATTTATATTGCCATGGTGAATATCTTTTGATGAAATGATTGTTTATTTTAAATTGTAAATATGATCTGTTTCCTTGTACCTTCCGGTGTGTATTTAAGTGAGGTAATTGAGGACAGCCGCGGTGCTCTGAGACCTGATGAGACGGGGAGCGGAACAGTTTTTCGACCGCAAATTGTAAACAGAGATTAGTGTTGCAAATTGGACTGCAAAGTATAGTTTATATAGGAAAGCATACCGCCGAAATATTGATTTAGATTTGTTATTTTGAGACTATTTAAGTCAATACTTTTTTGTTAATAAATTACATTTTTTGACTGAAAACCTTCGGCTGCTTATTGCTTTGAATTGCGTGTCGTCAACCCCGCTCTATAGTGGCAAAAGGAAACCTTGGATGCCATTACATCAAGTCGAAAAACTCCGTAAGGAAGAGACACACACCATTTGGATCCCCGGAAAAGAGGGACACACCGGAGCGGACAGACTGGGCCGGTCGTGAGTAAATAAAGGGAATAAATCCGTGTAGCATTGATTGGAATGTCGGACGTGTTAAAGTCTAAGAGGAAATCATAACGGCGATGCTCACATTGGAGGAGGATTGTAAATACCTGTGGATCGTCTGTGAAAATAATGTGATTGAATTTGTTTGTGCAACAAAGGAAGCCAGGCGTGCTCTGTGAGACTCATTAAAGGAGCGCAACGTATTTTACGCACGGCCTAAAAAACAAACAAATAAATAATGTCGGACGATCCCAAGACTTCTGCTGACGCAGAAACATTGTTAAAATCACTCAAAGCCTCCCGCAGTGGAAAATTAGGAGCATGCACAAGGAAAATGAACTAAATGAAGGCCTTGCTTGTGGAGGATGGGAATGTGGAACATGTGAATGACGCTTTGGAAATGTTCAAACTAAATATAAATGACTTGTGCAGTGTTCATGGATCCGTACAGCAGCTTTTATCAGAGGAAGAGAGAGAGGAGGATCATGTGGACTGGTTTGAGCCAAAAATGACACATTTTGAATATTGTATGAAAGATGTGGATGTGTGGAAAAGAGAAAGAATTGCACAATCAAAGATTCATCCCATGACAGCATCTCTAATGTTTCACACAAGTCAAGGAGCTCAAAAACCTCTTCAGTCTCCTCAGCATGTAGAAGAGCGTCTGCTGAAAAGGCTGCCCTGCTAGCCAGAGCAGCTGGGTTAAAGGACAAACATGCACTGCTATTACAACTGGAACAAATGGAACTGGACACAGAAATTGCAGCATCTGCTGCTAAAATAAAGGTTCTGCAAAGCATTGACGTGGAGGAAAAAAATGGAGGATCAAATTCAAGATGGAATAAATGCTTATCTGGAGGAAAGCAAAGAAAGAAGCACAGACACTTTGGATCCTGAAATCTCAGCCATGGAGTTCATGCGATTGGGTGCAGTGCCTAAAACACCACTTCAGAGGACTGTCATTAATCTTCGCAGCCCTCGGCAACCCACAACACAGTTTAGACCTTTTAAAATGCCCACAATGCATAGCTCCACCCAACACAATAAAACCCATGATAATAATAATAATAATAATGGGTTCCATTTATAAAGCACTTCATATTTGATTTCAAATCCCGAAGTGCTACAAGTAGTGAGCATGAACAGTATAAATAAACATTACACAACACGGTAGAATTAATAAAAAGCAATACAAAAATAAAAAATAAATAAAAGGGTGATAAAAAGGTCTAGGCAAAGGCTCTATTGAAGAGATGGGTTTTGAGGCCTTTTTTAAAAGCCTCCACGGTCTGTGGTGCTCTCATTTGGTCGGGGAGAGCATTCCACAGACTAGGAGCAGCCAAGCAGAAGGCCTGGTCTCCCATAGTACGGAGCTTAGTCCTGGGGGGTTTGAGGAAGTTGGAGTTGCTGGAGCGGGTGGTCCGCAAGGAGGTATGGGGGGTGAGGAGTTCCTTGAGGTAGAGAGGGGCAGTTCCATGGACACACTGGTGGGTGAGGACGGAGACCTTAAATTCGATCCTCTGTTCCACGGGTAGCCAGTGTAGTGCTTTAAGGATGGGGGTGATGTGTTCATATTTGCGCACCCTCATCAGGATCCTAGCAGCGCTGTTCTGAATGTATTGGAGCTTCTGGATGCTTTTGTTAGGGATCCCGATGAGGAGTGCATTGCAGTAGTCCAGCCTGGAGGAGACAAAGGCATGGACCAGCTTTTCGGCATCAGACAGAGTGAGTGTGGGGCGGAGTTGATGATAACCTTGACACTGTTATACAGAGACAGAGAGATATTGCTGACCTCATCATTATGCAGCAGAAACTTACTTTGTTACCAACAATGGAGATAAAAGTGTTCGATGGTGATCCACTTGAATATCAGTCCTTAATGCGAGCTTTCGAACACCTTATTGAGGATAAAATAGCTAGCAGTCATGACAGGCTCTACTTTCTCGACCAGTACACTACCGGCCAGCCCAAAGATCTCGTTCGAAGCTGCCTGCATATTAGGGCTTCACGATATTGAAAAAAACTGACATTGCGGTTTTTTGTTCCCCTGCGATATATATTGCGTTTTTTTTAACCTGTTAAGCCCCAAGGTCCCGGCGGGTACTTTACTTTTTTTTTCACGACACTGTGTCTCAGGGGATCTTAATATTTAAGAACCTATTCATGTGTTATACCAGATTAAGATTAACGGAAATAATCTCAGCTAACTGACGATACAAACCATTTTTCCCAAAACAAAACACAAGTCTCATAAGAAGCATCTAAATGACCCCTGAGCGAAAAATGCTAACGGACTTTGGCACAGAACTCAAGATAAAAGTACCCTTATTACTTATCGTAGCTGCACATACAAGATATCCGATTAAAGCTGAGGTTCCACAGATTATTTAGGTATATAGTATCATCCAGTGGCGTCGCCTGGCCTCATCATGACACAAGAGAGGACGGCAGGACTGTAATTTCCCGTGTTCAGTGAATGCAACACACCAGACCAATCAGAGAGTTGCATGGAAATAAACGTGTGCTTGTGTAATTCAAGCTCGGCTCTGTGTGTGTGTGGCGATGGCGCATTTAAGTGTGATAGAGAGAGAGAGGGAGAGAGAGACCGGTGCCAGCAGGGACCGTGTTGTTAGCATCTGGTTAGCTAGCTGCACTAACGGACATAAGGAGCTGTTTGTTCCACGACAAGCTGGATGAGAGTCCTCTCCTCTCAGACTGAGGGACTCAGGTGAGCTAAAGGACTCTGAGGGTTTAGATAGTTAGCTTTAGTCTAAGTTATCTCAGTGGGTCTCAAACGGTTTGGTCACAAATTATTCAAAAGATTATTTCCGCGGCACACGTTCATATGATCATTATAGTTATAAAAAAAATAAGAGAATAAATGAAAAACAGGTATGAGATACTATATGGAAGTAAAACAAGAATAGAGTTTAAAAGGAGAGTGATTTGTAAAATATCCATAAAGAAATAGTAAATCTGTTTCCAGTTATATTTCATATGGGTGTTGAGAGATGTATCCATAGATCTCTTAATGTTGCTCTCAAAGTGCACCAGATTGATGCTTTAACTTCAATATTTAAAAACAAATCTTCCCGGGGGAGCATGCCCCCGGACCCCCCTAGAGGAGGTGAGGTCTGCCCCCCCACTCATAAAAAATAGCACTTTTCCCCTGCCCTGCCTATATGCTGATTATAGAGCCTTCATTGTGACAGTCGCGGGTGTACTGTGTATGTGCGTGTGGGGAGTGTTGCAGTTGAAAATTCCACTGTAGCGCCGCGGCCGCCGCCGCCGCCACTGTGGGCTAAGCCCCGAATGTTTTCAGGTCCAGGCAACGCCCCTGGTATCATCACTGAATCATCCGAACTCGCGATAGTGGAAGCAAACACAGACATCACAACACGTACCTTTACGGAGCTTCTAAGGGAGATCGTCTCACCGTAGCTGTCAATCTGATCAAAAGACGTGTTCAATGGCATTAAAACGAGAAAAAACGCGGCTGAATCGGTTAATCCATAGGTTTTTAACGTCTCTGTATAAAAAAATTATTCATTTATAATTCCATAATTCCATTTTTATGTAAAAATCGGAGAGCAAAAGTTAGCTGCTAATGGTAGCCACCAGAGTGGCTGTTGCTTCCGGTCTTGGCTATGCGGACACACACATTACCAAATAAGGAGTGAGAGTGACGCGTAGCCAAAACCGGAAACTGCATACACTCTGGTGGCTACCATTAGCAGCTAACTTTTGTGCTCCGATTTTTACATAAAAATGGAATTATGGATTATAAACAATTGCTTCAAAGCCACAGATACATTATTAACCTATGGATCAACCGATTCAGCCGCGTTTTTTTCTAATTTTAATGCCATTGAACACGTCTTTTGATCAGATTGACAGCTACGGTGAGACAATCTCCCGTAAAAGCTCCGTAAAAGGTACGTGTTGTGATGTCTGTGTTTGCTTCCCCTGTCGCGAGATCGGATCGCTTAGATACTATACTTAAATAATCTGTGGAGTCTCAGCTTTAATCGGATATATTGTATGTGCAGTTTCGATAAGTAATAAGGGTATCTTTATTTTGAATTCTGTGCTAAAGTGCGTTAGCATCAGAGTTGGGTGTAACGCGTTACAAGGTAACGGAGTAGTGTAACGCGTTACTTTTATAATTTAGTAATCACACTACAGTTACTAACATTGCCCCGACACGCGTTACTTCGTTACTTTTATAAAATAGTCACACTCA